CTCAGAATCATGGTGGGAGGTGAAAGCTATTTCTTACATGGCAGCAGCAAGAAAAAATGAGGAAGAAGCAAACCAGAACCCCCTGATAAACCCATCAGATATCGTGAGACTTATTCACTATCATGAGAATAGCACAGAAAAGACCCACCCCTATGATTCAATTAACTTCCCCCTGGGTCCCTCCCACAACATGTGGGAATTCTGGGAGACACAATTCAAGTTGAGATTTGGGTGGGGACACAGCCAAACCATGTCATAAATTTATCTGATTACACCACTAAACTTTGATCACATGCACTTCTTTTTAGGTGCACACACACACACACACACACAAAAACACAAACAACACACACACAAAAACACATGGCTTGCAGAAATGACTTTATCATTATAAGCTCAATTTTCATTTTCCATATTTGTAATTCACAAACTAGATGGTAGGGCACTTAGAAGTCATTTTTTTAAAATTGCAAAGCACTTGGTTTACTAATATGTCAAACATAAAAATCTCAGAATATAATTTCATACTAAATCAGATTCTGATTTATACAATGTAATAAAATATACAAATGTACAAGACAAATTTATGTTTAATTATCTTTAAATTGTAGGAGGCTATTCTATGGTGCATTTTCCTTGCAATTTGGGAAAACTCTTTCATTCATTTTTCATTTACAAACATTTTGTTCCAACACAGGGAAGTAGAGATTGATTCCATTTCCCACACTACATTGCTAGCGTCAGAGAGATAGCTCTGCATGGTCAGAGCTGTTTCTCCACAATGAATCTGGCAACAGCAAGTTTCTTGTTATTTTGAAATTCTGCAATGAGTTAAGACATGGATTGCACTCTTTGGCCCTTGCTCCTGGGAATGCGTGTTCTCTGGATTATTTGATGTCCCGTGAATTGTCTTGAGAGGCTCTATTTTCCATCTTCTTTTTGAGACTATTCTCTTACCTTTAACCTGAACCTGAAAGTCATTACAGCCAATTAATAAACTATAAATGGCTACTTCTCTTCCAACAAGTGAAAGCCCCCAGAAGAGAAATACAGATAGAAGGGGAAGTGATTTTCTAGCCCTTTTAAGAAAAAGAGACAGAAAAAGATAGGTTGTACTTATTAAAAATATTGTTGTGGTTTTATCAAACAGGAACACAGACAATATGCAGATAGTTAGAAATAAAGGCAATGAGTTCTCATTTAGTGTCTAGTATTACAGAATTTATTTGTTGAATTCTTGCAAGATCGGTTGACTATACCTATGAGATCAGTTGGGCTCTTTTTGAAGGGTTCCTCTTTGACGACTTTATTTGTATATATATGTGTGTGTGTGTATATATATATATATATATATATATACACACACACACACATATATATATATATATATATTTTTTTTAGTGGAGACAGGGTTTCTCTATGTTGGTCAGGCTGATCTCAAACTCCCAATCTCAGTGATCTGCCTGCACTGGCCTCCCAAAGGGCTGGGATTACAGGCATGAGCCACTGTGCCTGGCCTCATCTTTGATAACTTTAACAACTTTCTGGTGGTACAGTAAAGGATTAACCTTGTCCAAAGAGAGGTCCGACATTTGCCCTTGGTTCCTGGGAGGTAATCTCTAAGCCTTGAAATGTCCTGTCTGATAAGAGTATCTTTATTACTGGGGATCTTCTTAGCATTGTCTATGCTAATAATGTGATTTATGGTGGGAGCTTTGGCCACATAGCATCAATTCAGTTTCTGGAGGGGCCAGAGACTATGGTCAGCCACGTGAGTGGTCAGCCATGTCTATGTGACCAAGCCCCAGTACAAATTCTGGACACCAAGACTTGGAAGACTTCCCTGCTTAGGAATACTCTGTGTGTACTGTCACACATAGTTTCTGGGAGAAGTAGGCCCTGTCCGCACAGCTCCACTGGAAGTGGTGTGACTGGTTCCTTTGTTTGGGACTGCCCTGGACCTTGCCTTAGGTACCTCTTCCCTCGGTTCATTTTCATCTTTGTTTTTTGCTTTAATAAACTCTAGCCGTGAGTAAAACAGCTTTCAGTGAGTTTTGTGAGTCATTCTAGTTAATTATCAAACTGTCTTGTCTTCAAACCTGAAAGTGATCTTGGGGATCTCAAACTTAACAATTTGTCTCAGAAATGGGTGGTCTTGGGAACTCACGAAATTTGTACTTAGCATTAGAAGTGGGATTTACTGGAATGACCTGGACTCACTGAAACTGGTGAAAGCATGATTTGGGAAAGGGAAAGATGAAGGAGTTTATGAACCTTTGATTCCTAGATGGCTGCTATCCTTTAAATCCCCTTGTTTGAGTCCCCGTCCCAGACTTCATAGGGAGCTGGTGAATATGTGTGGAAAATGAAGCTTCGGAGTCTCTGAGTTTATCTTGATTTAGCAGGTCTTGCGTCCTCGTGCTAAAGTGGTGGAATTGCACAGAAGGGCACTCTGCACAAAACTTTGGCAGGGCAAGATAAAAACTCCGTGAGGGCAGGGACCATGGTTACTTAGCTAACCAGTCTATCTCAGGGGAAATATAAATGTCTTCCTTAGGGAATTCATTCATTCCTTCAGCACTTGACACTCTACTATCAACTCGGAAGAACCAGGCGCTGGACCAGGCTTGGAAACACTAAGCTAAGAGGAGCATAGACTTTGTGTTGAAGAGCTCAGGGCTGGGGAAGTCAGTGCGTAGAAAAATTGCAGTTTTTTTTTTTTTTTTTTTTTTCCGAACGGAATTTCACTCTTGGTGCCCAAGCTGGAGTACAATGGCACTATCTTGGCTCACTGCAACCTCCACCGCCCAGGTTCAAATGATTCTCCTGCCTCAGCTTCCCAAGTAGCTGGGATTACAGGCGCATGCCACTTTGCCTGGTATTTTTAGTAGAACTGGGGTTTCACCATGTTATCCAGGCTCATCTCAAACTCCTGACCCCAGGTGATCCGCCTGTCACAGGCTCCCAAAGTGCTGGGATTGCAGGCGTGAGCCACTGCTCCCAACCTTGTTTCTGTCTCCCAGGCTGGAGTGCAGTAGCAGGATCTCGGCTTACTACAACCTCCATCTCCCAGGTTCAAACGATTCTCCTGCCTCAGCCTGAGTAGCTGGGATTACAGGTATGCACCACCACACCCAGCTAATTTTTGTGTTTTTAGTAGAGATGGGGGTTTACCATGTTTGTCAGGCTGGTATTGAACTCCTGGCCTCAAGTGATCTGTCTGCCTCGACCTCCCAAAGTTCTGGGATTGCAGGCATGAGCCACCATGCCCAGCCTACACATAAGCAGATAATTGTGTGATAGAGTTTGTCAAGGACCACAAGACAGACACACACTAAGTGGTACAGCTGCTTTGAGTCCAGTTTCCAGGGGATGGTAGGTCATCCACATGCCTGGTGGGAAGGATGGAGCTGGGGCTGTGGTCAGGATGGGAGAGGCTGATTCCTAATTCATATTTGTCAGTGGCTTCCAACAGTTGGATCTTGTTTCCCACCTGTCATATGAGGAAGTTTACCCTTCTTTGTTATATTATGTCTTGTGTACCACTTCTCAAGGTTAAGGACATGGCCAGATCGACTCAAACTTACAATTTGTCTCAGAAATGGGTGGTCTTGGGGACTCATTGAGGAAATTCCCCGGGGTTGAAGGCTGCGCCTTGGAAGGAGACGGAGGAGACAAGAGATGATAACCGTTAGACCAGCTGGAAAATGCTACTCAGGGCTTAAAAAAATGAAAACAAAAACACAAAAGCCTCGCCTATGTCCATGGTTTTTTGTTATGCATATTCTCGAGTATCATTTTTAATTTGATACTGAAAACTACCTTGTGAAGGTGGGGAGGAGGTATTGTTGACCCTACAGGCTCAGAGAGTAACTTGGCCAGAGTCACAAAGGTTGTAAGTTGCTGATTGGGAGCTCGAAGTCCAAGTCTTTGACTTGTAAATCGAGAGCTCTGTCCAGAGCCCCGCTGCTGCCTCCACTGGCAGCTGAAGCTGTCAGTCTGCTGCCCCCTGTCCAGTTCAGACAGGGTGGCTGGAAGTGGATCAAAGCATGAAAAAAGAGAAGAAGGGTGGACTGGAAGGGAACAGAAAGTATTTGTCATTAAGGGGAAAGCAGAAGGAAGAAAGAAAGAGGCATGAACCCTGGGGCCCGGCCTTGAAGCACAGTGTTCCAGGGGAGCGGGGAAGCCGCTGCCCCCACCCCTTTATGGGGGCCTGAGCAGATCCAAAGCTGCCTTGCCTTCCCTGGAGGGTCGCATCCAAACATGGATGGAAAGGCAGCAAAACTAGGCCCATGTCACTTTTGGGAGGAGGCAAAAGAGAGAAAAGAGAACTACTATGGAAAAGTAGAAAAAGAGGAAGGGAGGTAATCTAGACACACAGATCAGAAACATGGAGCAAAACAGATTTTTCTTTTTGGGACGGGGCCTCTCTCTGTCGCCCAGGCTGGAGTGTAACGGTGTGATCTTAGTTCACTGCAACCCCACCTCCTGGGTTCAAGTGATTCTCCTGCCTTAGCCTCCCAAAGTGCTGGGATTACAGGTGTGAGCCACCAAGCTAGGTGCAAAACAAATTCTTATGAAATAAATTTAATTTGCATGTGCTTAAGCTTTGGCGTCAACTTGCATGGAATCCCAGGCTTGTTAGATTTTTCTGGTGCCTCCAGCCATTAGATCTGTCCTCTGTTCCCTCAGCTACTACTCTTCTCCTTGTACATCGTTAGCCACTTATCCTGGGTCCTACTTCTCAGCCCACTCCTTCTCCAGCCCCTCTTTACTCCATCTCCACAATGTCTGCTGGAATGGAACAGCCTGGGATGCTGGCTCTTTGGCCCCCATATGGGTCTCTCCATATTGCCAGTAGGATTCAGAGAATTGGAACATTTCTTGGGCTGAAGCAGGGAAGGAGATACGATTTTGAAACTGGCTTTGTGAGTCACTGTGAGCTTCAAGCACCCTCCCACTTGAGGCAAGCTTCACCAGTTTGGCTTGTGGGAACCAGCAGACCAGCTCCAGGTGCTGGGGCTTTCTCAGTGGCCTTGTCAGCTCACAGCAGACGTTCACGCCTCGAATTGAGGAAACTGTGGCTGGACGGCTGTAAGGCAGTTCTGCTCCCCATTGTCCTCTTGCTGACTGGGAGCTGCTGAGCCCGTGGACGGCAGAGTGTCTGGTGGGGTGGAGGGGCTGGCCTGGTCCCGCTGTCCTGTGGGGATGTTGGGGCAAGTGGTCACCCTCACACTCCTCCTGCTCCTCAAGGGGTATCAGGGCCAAGGTAAGGAGGTCCTACCTGGCATGGGGCGGGGGACTCACATGATGGGCTAGGGACTGTGCCCCTCGGGGAGATCAGAGCCAGAGCCACTGCTTGTGCCATGTACATGGTCATCTGGAACTGTGACTCCGAGCAGCTCCTGACAGCTCTGACATTCTAAATCAGACAGGACAGGCTGGCAGTGCACTGGCAAATCTGTGAGAGGGGCATCCTGTCCTGCCATCTGCAATTCAGGAAGCCTTGGGTGAGGAGATTCCTTCCCACTGGCTCCGATTTACCTTTCCGTGAAGTGGAGAGAGAAGCCTTCTTCCAGTTGCCTGTAAAGATGAAGAAAATTGCATCCTCCAATTGTGGCGTGAGAGAGGAGAAGCAGTCCCAAGGAAGCTGGGTGGTTCTGGAGCTGAGAGACAGACAGATGGATCCCTGAGGCAGGAGAGCTGAGCCTGAGAAGGAGAGGGTGAGGCCAGCAGCCATCCAGATGCCACGGGAGCCTGGAAATTATTAGGGACATGTTGGCTTGGGGCAGAGAAGGAGACAATATGAGGAAGCTCCACAGCAAACCTAAAGCTGTCAGCCAGGCACGGAGCCACTGAATGTTTACTCCCAGGGACCCCAGCTGAGGGCTGCTCTTCTCTTTCTCCAGCCTGCTCTGAAACCTGGATCCTGCATTTAATTTGATTTATTAATTAATTCATTTATTTTGAGACGGAATCTCCCTCTGTCGCCCAGGCTGGAGTGCAGTGGCATGATCTCGGCTCACTGCAATCTTCACCTCCTGGGTTCAAGCAATTCTTATACCTCAGCCTCTCGAGTAGCTGGGATTACAGACATGCACTGCCACGCTTGGCTAATTTTTGGGTTTTTAGTAAAGACCAGGTTTTTCCATGTTGGCCAGGCTGGTCTTGAACTCCTGACCTCAGGTGATCTGCCTACCTTGGTCTCCCAAAGTGCTAGGATTACAGGTGTGAACCACCGCGCCCGACCGGGATCCTGCATTTTAGATCAGTAACTCTACAGGGGTTTCACAGGGGTGGAGAGCGTGGAGTGAGAAGAGGGTACACTCTGGGCACAAAGAGGGGAAACTGAGGCATAGTGTGTGGGTTCAGGGCCGGGTACAATCCCCATATGCAATAAAGTTCCATGCCCAGGTACTCAGTTCAGTTACTGAGTCCCTGAGCATTCTTGTGTCCTTCAGGAAGATGTGGTCAAGGCTCAGGTGGACTCGACATTTGTAAGGATTACAGGCAGCCTAGGGCAGAGCCTGATGAGGGACAGGGAGCAGGGAGGGAGGTGTGGAGCCTGAGGCTCTTGTGAGTGGGCAGCGGGGACCCAGTGGCCCAGGATTCCAGGCAGGAGAGCTAGGTTGGTACCTGGTCTAAGGAGCCTTGAAAGGAGCTCAGAGAGCTGAAGGAGGACTGTTGGGATTGGTGCCTGGCTGTTGGGATGAGCATGACAGAGAAGCTGAGGTTATGAGCCTGAGGTTATGAGCCTGTGTGACAGAGGGGGATGCTCCCTTCACCCCCATTACCAGTTCTTCAGCGCTATATCTGGGCTTGGCTATGCTGGCCCTTGTAAGGTGAAGCTGGTGAGTAACTCAGGCACAGGGAGGGATGGACTTGGGTCTCCCTGAGCTGCTTCCTCCTCTGTCCTGTGTCTGTGAGGCTGGCCTGGCGTAAGCTGACTGAAGCCACTCTATTCAATTTTTAAACTTTTTAGTTAGAAATAATTGCGAAGTTCCACGGAAGCTGCAAAAATAGTGCAAAGGATTCTTGAATTTCTTTCACCTAGATTCACCAGTGAACATTTTATCATATTTACTTTATTTCTCTTTCTCTAGCTGTATGTGTATGTGTGTATAATAATTTTTGTTGAACCACTCGAGAATAAGTTGACTTTATGTCCCTTTGCTCCTAAATATTTTAGCACTTACAGCCTATGAACAAAGACATTCTTATGTTACTACAGCACAATTATCAAATTTAGTAAATTTAACGTTAATACCATCAAATATGCCACCCATATTCACTTGTTACCAATTGTCCCAAGAATATGCTTTATTTTAGTTTATTTTTTTGCTGACCCAAGATGCAATCAGGATCATGTATTACATTCAGTTGTTACGTTTCTCATGCTTAGTCTATGACCACACTTTAGCCTTTCTTCATCTTTCTTATACTGCATTCTTGATAGAGGGATAAGCCAATTGTTTTGTAGAGGGTTACTTAATCTGGGTTTGATGTTTAGGTTATCATATGATTCAGGTTATCATATACATTTTTACTTTATATCATTATCATTATTTTTTTTTTAGAGACAGAGTCTCGCTCTGTCACTCAGGCTGGAGTGCAGAGGTCTGATCTCGGCTCACTACAACCTCCACGCACCCCCATCCCCACCCCCGGTTCAAGCAATTCACCTGCCTCAGCCTCCTGAGTAGCTGGGACTACAGGCGCACACCATCACGCCCAGCTGATTTTTGTATTTTTAGTGGAGACAGGGTTTCACCATGTTGGCCAGGCTGGTCTTGAACTCCTGACCTCAAGTGATCTGTCCACCTTGGCTTCTCAAAGTGCTGGGATTACAGGCATGAGGCACCACACCCCGCATTTTATTATTATTTTTTTAACAGAGGATCTCATTCTGTCACCCAGGCTAGAGTGCAGTGGCATGCTCATGGCTAACTGTAGCCTTAACCTCCCAGGCTCAAGCCATCCTTCCACTTCAGCCTCCCCAGTAGCTGTAACTACAGGTCTGCATCACCAGGCCTGGCTAACTTTTGTATTTTTTGTAGAGATGAGGTTTCCCCATGTTGCCCAGCGTGGTCTCGAATCCTGGGCTCAGGCAATCCACTTGCTTCAGCCTCCCAAAGTGCTGGGACTACAGGTGTAAGCCATCACACCCAGCCATCATATGCATTTTTAAAATTATTTTTTCTTCTTAAACATTTTTTTTTTCTGTACCCATTGACAGCAGATATCATACGCATTTTTGTCAGGAATACCACAAAAATGATACAGTGTCTTTCTCAATGCATCCCATCAGGAGTCATGATGACAGTGAAATTAAAAGAAATTTTGTTTACTGAGAAATTTAACAGGTGTACTATTTATGTAAGATGTGGGTATAACTTACATAAATTATGTAAGATGTGCATATAAGATGTACATATAATTCTGGAGCTTTGCAAAAGTCTTCTAAAGGCTTCTTCTTTCATGCAGAGTAAAAAAACCCATTCATTTTACAATCATGCATGACTTGCGGGGCCCTAAAGTTCATTTTGAACCCTAAATTCAGGTTTCAGTTGTCCATTCTTTTTTTTTCTTTCTTTTTTTTTTGGTGAGGGACAGAATCTTGCTCTGTTCCCCAGGCTGGAGCACAGTGGCACGATCTCGGCTCACTGCAACCTCTGCCTCCCGGTTTAAAGTGATTCTCCTGCCTCAGCCTCCTGAGTAGCTGGTATATGCCACCAAGCCCTGGCTAATTTTTGTATTTTTAGGAGAGACGAGGTTTCACTATGTTAGCCAGGATGGTCTTGATCTTCTGACCTTGTGATCTGCCCACCTCAGCCTCCCAAAGAGCTGGGATTACAGGTGTGAGCCATTGCGTCCGGCCTCAGTTGTTAATTTTAAGGAAACCCCAAAAGACACACACGCTAGAGGCTGTGAATCCCTAGATGCTTTGGAGCCTGAGATGAGATACACTAGACGATAAAAGGGCATAGGTGACCCCATACAGATTAGCTCCAAGGGTTGCCAGCTGTTTGTGTAGATTGTGTTGGAACATTCCCTTCTCAGGGAGTGGTGTCTAATTGCGATTGCTTTGGCTGGGATCCAGGCAAGCTGTAGGAAGGCTGGAGTCGTTTTTGCTCTTCTCTTCCTCATGGCACATCCCCTCCAATAAAGGGTGAATGGCAAAGTAGCTAGACACAGAAAAGAGACTGGGACTCAGTGCACCCTGGGCTACAGCACCATCCAGAAAGGAATCCACAGAAATCACTTTAAGGCGACCCAGGGCATTGTCTTGTTTTTGTTTTTGTTTTTGTTTTTGTTTTTGTTTTTTTTTTTTTGAGACAGAATCTTGCTCTATCACCCAGGGTGGAGTGCAGTGATATGATCACAGCTCACTGTAGCTTGACCTCCTGGGCTCAAGCAATCCTCCTGCCTCAGCCTCACCAGTAGCTGTGACTACAGGCATTCATCACCACACTTGGCTAATTTTTAATTTTTGTGTAGAGATGGGGTTTTGCCATGTTTTCTGGGCTGGTCTTGAATTCCTGGGCTCAAGCAATCCTCTTGCCTCGGCCTCCCAAAGTATTGGGATTACAGATGTGGGCCACTGCACCCAGCCAGCCCGTTGTCGTCATAGACAAACCTTTCTTATTGAAGTGAAACATATAGAAAAGTACACAAAATTAAAAATGTACATCTCAATGAGTTATTGTTAAATGAACACACTCTTGTGTCTACCCCATGGGTCTCTCCCATTCATTACCTCCTCTGTCTTCCACAAATATAGCCACAATTTTGTCTTCTAGCATCACAGATTAGTTTTGCCTGTATATATGGAATCAAATGGTATGTGCTCTTGTGTCTGACTTCTTTTGCTCAACATCTTAATGAGATTTATGTATGCTATTATTTGTAGCTGATCATTTTCATGGGTACATAGTATTTTATTGCATGACTATATCACAGTTTATTCAGTTATTCTATTATTGATGAACCTTTGGGTTGTTTTCAATTTTGTTTTTGCTATTATAATAATTCTGTGTTGAACCTTTTGTGCATGCATGTCTGTTGGGTGTATCTTTAGGGGCAGAATCATGGGATATGTGTACATAACTCTAGCAGATGCTGCCAAACTGTTTCCCAAAGTGGTTGAACCAAATAGTGCATGAGAATTCCATGCTGCTTCAGGGACACTGGCTTTTGGTTTTGAAGGTCTGCAGATGAAAAATGAAACTGCAGGAATGTGGAGCCTGGCAAGAGGCCAAAGGCAAGGGA